ATCTAGTCTAAATCTACCCCCCTTTAGTTTAAAGCCATTCCCCCTTGTCCTGTCACAACAGGCCCTGCTATAAAGTTTGTCCCCATGATGATGATAATGCTGATCCCAACAAAACCACTCCATGCAGATGTGGCATAAAAACTTAGTGAAGGGCAGATGACAGTTATGAAATTCCTCATTCACTCTGGAAATTGGACTTCATCTAACAAATGAGGCGAGCGTATCTGCAGTGACTCTGAGCCTGACAACTGTACAGCGGACAGCATTTCATCCGTATTTACTTCTTGGAAGACACCATTTGTTTCCATGACAAACTGCAAGCGCTTTGAACATCTCAGGGCCTTGCAGGCTTTCTTTCCAGACGGAGGGATTTCTTTCTTATGAAAAATTAAATTTACTTCTGCTATTACATAACAAAGGAGTGACATGTACATCTCAACATCAAATGCAACCGCTCTTTTATGGCCCTCGGACACATGTGTAACATCTCCTCTGAAGCCAAATAACCTCTTGAGTTGTTGGCTTGGGACTGCAATAGCTATTCTTGGGATTAAGACGGTCTGCAGTATCCGTTTCATATGGATTCTTCATTGCTCTTGAATACCTCCAAAAAACATAAAAGCTGTTCTGTGTTCCATCTCTGGTGGTTAAGAAAATGATGCTACCTCCTCTCAGATGTGCGCTTCCTCATCTTAACATAGGTGTGCATAATTCCTTGGCTAATTACTGTAATTTGCTTGGTATAAGTGGGAAATTGAGGACCGGCGTGAGGGTGCGGTGTGCTCCACGGCTCAGTGGATCCGCCGTGGGACTCACTGCTCAGCCACAGAGGCTAATCAAAAGCATTTTCCCAAATGCATCAATCAATTTCACTGGATCCTATTAAATACTAGACAAAAAATAAAAGCTTTGGTCTATAGCTTCAAAGCTCTCTAGCCCAAGTCATACTTAATCTAATACAGGCCCAAAATAAGAGACAGAAAACTAATATTTATGCCGGAAATGTAACATGCTGTGGGATTTGCTTCTTTAGTGTAAAGTAACTTTTTCCAGAGCCCAAATTTTATCTTCTGATGGAAGTTACCTCCAATAAAAAAAAAGGCAAGGCTAGTATACATCTTGTGATTAAAATGAGCAGCCAACTCTCAACGTTTGAGATGTGAGGGATTCAAAGTCTTTGACCTGCTTTGCCTCCTGCAGAGCCAGTGTTTGCTGAAACGAGGGAATTGTCTCCCTCCAGAGCCTCAGCTGGGACGGATCTTTCTCTGCGTCCACCCTCAAACACTGGTGCCTCAAGAGACTGGTGAGACTGGTCTACCTCTTAATTTGATGCAGAACTCTTAAAAATAGGTTCTGCATCATTTTATTTTCAGATGGAGTAGTCAGCTTTAGGTGGATCGTTTTCCTTCTTGTAGTTCTCTAAATCTGTGCTAAGAAAAACTAATCTTATTTAGATTGTAAGCTCTTTGGGGGAAAAACAGGATCTTTAAGGGATCTGCCTGTCTTCACAGAATCAGGTAGATCAGATGAGCTCAAGATATAACATCTGTGAGTAATCTGGTAAAAATGACTAAATTCTATAATTGATACCCCTGAGACCCTGCAAAACTCCCTTATGAGAAGCCTATCTCAAAGTATTGTATAGCCTTGTAATAAAGGTGGTTTTGAGTATGTTGTTGAGAATGAATGAAAACATGGAAGACTAAAATGAGGAAAACCAAAAACACTGTGGCTGTTTAAGGCAGAAAAAAATTTCAAAAGAGATCACGTGCATAGGCAAAACTATTTTTCACAAGGATCCTTGAGTAATAATCAATAATACCAATTCAAGAGGCATTTGATGAAACAGGCAGCAAATCTGAACAGGATAAAGCTGGCCTATGGAAATTGTTGGAAGAAGGTATCACCAAGATCAGGACTTGCCAGAAAAAGACCTTTCTCTTCTGCACTGCTTTCTAAGTGTTCTTAAAAAGAAAATATCCATACGTGGAGCAGCTGTATGCTATCTAACCTTGCCCCAGGGTAAGCACAAGTTACTTTTGTCTTCCTTTATGTCAGCTGGGGTTAAGTCAAAGCCTTAGCAATGTACTAGTTTGAATTAGAGAACTAATGCATCTAGTCTGTTTTTTCAGCTATTTGATTTGAAATATTTTGTAGTGTACATCAGTACACTACATGAAAAATCTCTATACTTAATGGAGTAAAAGCTGGTTAACCGTCACCTTGAAACATCAGATGTCATTGAAAAAATCCCTGAAGAGAAATGTGTATGAGGGGTAAACAAGAAATTGTTGCTTACAAGATTTATGTTTGACAAAAGACAGGCAAAATGTCAAGTAAAAGACAATAAAGGTTGAATAAAATTGGGCTGCTGGGCATACTGTGTCCCTTCCCGAACAGTGTAGGATAAAACCGAATACACAATTACATATTTGCAGGTAATTTTCACAGAGCACGTGTGACTATCTTGTTGGATTTCAGTGTACTCTACTGCTTCCTTCACTGAAATTGTAATCTGCTGGTTGCCCAGACCTACTGAATCAGCAGTCATCGCAAACGTGCAGAACAATGTTGTTACATGCTGTAGCCGTATCTTCCCCGGAGTCATCACCACCGGGAACAACACACTGAGCCGCAGCCAGGACACTTCTGATGCTTCACTATTTTTCACTAGTCTCGAGTTTCATTGCAGTTGAAACAAATTACTCTTTACTCATGAACAGGCAATTTTTAAAAGTAATAGGAACTGTTAGAAGGAAGAACTTGCATGACCGCAAGGGGTCTTGCCTGGCATCTTTTACTTACCTAATTTCTACTTATTATCTGAAGCTGGTTTTGCTATAGAGCTGTCAAGAACTGGCTGTTTGTGCATTAGTAATACACAATAATCACCAGGAAGAGGCCTGGAAATGGCACTTACTAATGTACGAACAAGTTTGACAGCAGACATAATAAAAAGTCCACCCCGCTGGTAACCCAAGACACGCAAGTTTATTTCCAAAAGAGGGATACTGCCTTCAGACACCAGCTGTGTAGGGACAAACTCTGGGATAGCAGCGAGGCCCCCTCCGCTCTGCACAGCGCCAGGCGCTGCTTACGCAGCCTCGGGTACCAGGGACACGAGGAAACTCTGAGGAAGGCGTGAATGAGGAGAAATGAACCACTGATGGGTTTTTCTGCCACATGCTTTCTGTTGGAGGTATTGCTTTCAGGTTCCTTCAACTCTCTTTGGTGAATTTAGTTTAGTTCCAGTCTAACGAGGCTTTCTAGAGTATTTGGCCACAGCTAGTCTTTTTATTCATGGGAAGCTTGATTTTTTCCCCCAGTGTATATATGTTAACTTTTTATACGTATGTTTAGGACATGCTGAAATATTTATTTGGACCATTTAGAGGCAGGCATCTCCAGAAGTGGATGGCATAAGGGGAAGGACCAGGTCTGTGCTGCGCAGCCTGCCTTCACCCTGCTCCGGGAGGAGAGCCGAGGGGCAGACC